CTCCTGCCGTTGGGCGCAGGACGAAGCAAGCGACCAGCGCGGCCAGCGGTAGTTACGGATGCGGCTGCTGACGCACAACTTTCTCTGCTGCCTCGAGTGCCAGTCCTTCCCGCTGCGGGTGCGCGGCGAGGAGGTGGAGGTGCTGCCCTGCGGGTTCGACGCCGAGTTCCTCCGCCTGATGCTTGCCCGCATGGACTACACCTTCGCCGTGGACGCCTTCAACGCGCTGCGGGAGCAGCAGCCGCAGCTGCTGGGCGCCGCACAGGCGCTTCCTGCAACGCTGGCGGAGGTCGACCTTTCCGACGACTCGGCGGACTTGCGGGCGGTGCACCACGCCGTGCAGGAGGTGGCGGTGCGGGGCGGCGGGCTCGTCTGCGGGCAGTGCGGCCGCGAGTACCCGATACGCGACTTCATCCCCGACATGGTCCTCGAGGGCAAGTGACGGCGCCGTGCTGGTGGGCACCACCCCCCACCATCTGCTGTTGCTGCTGCTCAGCGGGCGGCCCATGCCTAGCTACACGTATGCAACCACGCGGCTAACTGTGTGTTAAGAAGAGTGCGGGCGACGGCGCGACTTTTCCGTTTGTACGTCTTTTGCCCCCAACCTCGCTCCACCGCCCGGGGTGGCGTGTGGAACACGTGCGCTCCACTCCATCATGCGTTGCCCATGACACTGTTTCCTTGCTTGCTTCTCTTTCTACTTCTCTCTCTGTCTCTGCGTGTGTGTGTTTTCTTTCTCTATTTCTGTCCCTCGCACGCTCGGCGGTGGAAGTAACAATACCTGCCAGCCTATCGCGATGCACCTTCGGCGGCTGCGCGAGACGACGCTGCTGGACCGCGTGTACGAGCACGTCGTGCTGCCGCCCGTCGTCATGCAGGTCGTGGACACCGCGGCGTTCCAGCGGCTGCGCTCACTCAAGCAGCTCGGCGCCTCGTCGTTCCTGTACCCCGGCGCCGTGCACACGCGCTTCGAGCACAGCATAGGCGTCGCCCACATGGCGCGGAATCTCCTCGTGAACATCAAGCGCCGCCAGCCGGACTTGGGCATCAGCGACGACGACGTGCACAAGGCGATGCTCGCCGGCCTGCTGCACGACATCGGCCACGGCCCGTTCAGCCATCTGTTCGAGGACGCCATCACGACGCGCTGCGGGGTGGCGTACGACCACGAGGAGATGTCGCAGCGCATCGCACGGCGGGTGCTGCAGCCGCTGCTGCCTGCTGGTGACGTGGAGGACGTCGTGGGGCTCATGTGCGGCCGCTGCAGCCCCGCGGCGAAGTACGGCGAGGTCATCAGCAACAAGCGCAACGGCATCGACGTGGACAAGCTCGACTACTTCATCCGCGACTCGCTCTGCTGCTTTGGCAAGCCGACGGTGGACGTGCGGGTGAACCGCCTCTTCAACTCGGCGCGGCTGGTGTGCGACGGCGGGCAGTGGCAGCTCGCCTTCGAGGAGAAGCTCGCGCTGTCGCTGCGGGAGCTCTTCACGCTGCGCGCGAAGCTGCACAAGAACGTCTACCAGCACCACGT